CTTGGCCAAAATAAATCCTCTCGCATTTTCGTGATACATTTGTCCCAACCGATATGCGATGACTCATCATGATATAACCGCATCGTCAGAAGACGCGCGCGGCACAAGGTACTAGGCACTTCGGATGTTTTGTTTTGGTTACCACAATATTGTTTATTATCTCAAAGTTCGGGTTACTATCTGGTTCACTTAATAGCTCTCGACAAAATGCATCATTTCTTTGGAACTCTTGTAATGTCTCGATCTCTGATATTTTGTTTACATTCAGAGTTTTTAAAGCACACACTTTCAGAACGCTTTCCGTATTCAAGGGATTTCGACTCAAATAATCCACGTGAGCCATTTTATGCCCAGGTCGGTACTCGATTGTGTAGTCATAGTCTTGTAATTTCATGAACCAGCGCGCCACACGGGGATGTAAGTCTTTCTTTAACGCAGTCGCTCTGACGGAATTACAATCGGTGTACACTACGAAAGGCATTCCATACAAGTACAATCGAAAATGTTCGACTGCTTCCACAATGGCAAGTGTCTCTAAAAGTCATAGGAGTGGTATCTCGACTCGTACTCGGTAGTCCGACGGCTGTAGTAGGCAACGGGTCGAGCAACACCATCCTCTTTTTGAAGTAGTGCGGCACCAAGACCTATAGAACTTGCGTCTGTATGTTCAAAAGGTATTTTCGGATCGAACATTCGGAGCACAGGCGAATCAGTTAATTTACTGATAATTAATTGTCTCACGTTTTCACATTCTGTAGTCCATTCAAAAGCACAATTTTTACGCAACAAAGCCGTTATTGGTGCGGTCAATTGAGAAAATCCTTTCATGAAGCGACGAAAGTAGCTAGCAAGTCCCATGAATTGACGCACACTTTTAACATCCGAAGGAGGTGGTGCTTGAGTTGAAGCATTCACCTTTCGTTAATCCAAACCGTACTCAACCATGATAAGGACTGTAGGCCACGGTAACTTATCATTGAAACTGCTGATGGTACGCAATTTTCGAGTGCTAAACTCGCATAAATTATTGCATTCATTACTCCGAAGAGTAGCAGCCTGGTAAGCGCGAGCACCTGGTGTTTCTTGATCCGGAAAAGCGACACTCAAGTCACTACAAAAGTCTTTCCAAGACCGACAAAGAGGCCTCCATTCGCAGAAATAGCGATAGCCACGATTTTGTAATGCTTCGCTAGCCTTTGCAATCATCAAATTGTCACTGATATGGAGTTCTTCTTTTAGTTTTGATGCGTCATCCAACCATTCCTCGATTGAGTAAGAACTCGTGTCAGGATCATAGCTGGTTAGATTGAATGACGAATGTACAGGCCTAACTGCTGACGCCTGCGCGCTCGGTCCTTCTGCTCCAGAATCACTGGGCGTTGGCGTTGGAACAGGAGATGTTGTCATCTTGGTCAACTCGGCAAGTTGTTGCTGTTGAGCTGCCACTTAGTTGATTAAGGTCTCTTGCCAATGTAATTTAGGACGCTTTGGACTTGGGGAGACCACATCTTCTTCGGAGTCAGCTACTCCGTCCGTGACATCCTCACTGTCGCGACGCGGGCGGATTTCTTCCGTATCAGCCATTTCAACTTTTAATGTTAATTTATAGTCTTATTGCTCAGTTGAAACACTTTTCACTGCACGCGAAGTTGTATCCCACTTCTGATGTTAACTACTGGGTACTTTCATCCCCATAAATACGCAAAATACCCCAAAAGCGGTTTATTATTCTCATTGGATACAATAATCAATCGTAAGTCAGACGCCAGACGCTGTACCCTCGGCTGTACCGATTGGAACTGCCTCTCTTCCTCTTTTTCGGGCCTTCGTGCATATGGTAATATATCAATCGACGCCTTCGTCTATCGCTTGTCTAGTCTCGCTCGTCCGTCCTGGAATTCCTTGACTCAGGCTAATGGCTCCAATGGCGTGGCAAAGGGGATATTGCTAACATTCCTTATTGATCCGCCCTGTGAAAGTGTGGCAATATTTTCAATATTTTAATATAATGAATTTTCATATTTACCCTGTTGCTGACAGAGTGTTTCGTCACACACTAGTTCAAATTTCACCAACATTCATTATTTACCAATATTCAGCTCTATTGATTATTAAAGCTTTGGACATAATTAGTAGGTGGTAATGAGAAGAAGCGGGTGGGAATGTTTTATAATTGTTGTCACCTGTCGGAGTTTACAAATTTTCCATACAATCGCGAATAATAATCCAGGATATCAAAACTATGGAAGATTCTATATTATAGTTCGGATATAAGTTTGTTTCTAAAATTTCGTATAGTTTCGATATTGTAAACAGGTGACTGGAATAATTATAACACATTCTGCACTCGCTTTTTTTCCATATCTACCTACTAATTAGGTCCAAGCTATTATAGTCAAAAAATATTGCTGAATATTGGTAAATAATGAATGTTGGTGACATTTAAAACTGGTGTGTGACGAAACATTCTGTCAGCAACAGGGTTAATATAAGAATTCATGATATTAAAAATATTGCTACATATCTACAAGGCGGATCAATAAGAAATATTGTGAAAAAAATATCTAAATTCAAGGCTAATACTCAAAATATCGTATAAGTATTATATATTTTTGGAAAGCGCAAAGCATCAATAATGAAAATATGAAAAAATATACACGGTGCCCCATTTAATAAAACATGACTATGGGTAATATCTGATTGATAACTGCCTATTTTCAAAATCGGACTACGCCACTGGATTCCATGTGAAAAACTGTATAAGTGACAGTTTTTACTTTTCCTGAGATACAAAAACGAAGCGGGCTCTGAAAATTTCATTTGCGGTATCGTGAGTTTCCCGACAAAGAAGCCAATGTTCGCGAAAACCGCGAATATCTATCTACAAAAATGAGTAAGATATCCCTTAAATACATAGAAAATGGGACAGCCCGTACAGGGTGGCTGGAATTCGAGCCTCATAATTGGGATCTCATAAACCGTAAATAATGGCAAAGTTGCGCAATTTTATGCCAAACAAAATGCCGTTGAAAAATTCCAAATACTTGGCAAAACCGAATATTCGCGATTTTTATTATTTCCTTATGACTCTTTTGCACAACTTTTGCCATAGTTTAACCTACTTTGTACCTCTTACGGTTCGTCAGATCCCAATAATGAGGCTCGAATTGCAGCCACCCTACAGGTGTCATTAAGTTATACCAAAATTTAAGGAAGGCTTTTGAAACGAGCGATTTCGTGGTCTATACTGACGAACTAGAGGGAGAGTTTTCTGGGAGGAAGGGGACATGGTCTAGGATCGCCAAGTAGCCGATATACGCGGCTTGTTTTTATTGGTGTAATCCTGGTTCCACTAATTCATCTTCTTGTTAGGCAATCTTGTGACTGGAAGGAATACTATTGGGAAGAATACGTTTTTATCGAATAGGGACTAACATTATTTTCAGTCTCACCAGTTGGCGCTACTAAAACGAGAGGTCAATGTCAAAGTCAAAAATCCAAAAATTTTGCCAGATAGTCCCTAAATGCTATGGCCTGTTTCGAGAATATTAAAATAAAAATATGTTAAATATTTGAACAAACTGAAAACCTCAAGCTGAGGAAAGATTTGAGCAGACTTACGCGTTTTCACTCCCAATGTAGAACTTTTCGACCAATTCTTACATTGACGAAGAAGAAATTGTATGAAGAGCCCAACTGACACGAGAAGAAGAAGTTTTACCAACTCTGACCTCACTTTTCAGTGGCGCAATGTGGTAGACGACAAATAATGTTAGCCCTCATTTACCTCACTCACTGTCGTCGCACCTTGTTCTACCAGGTGTTCGGCAGTTTGGTAGACGTAGCCCAACAACTTGACTATTCTCATTCCATTTTTTATTTTGGCCCCCCCATGTTGCGATACACAGTGGGTCGAAGTTTGAAATTTGAAACAGTTTTTTTGTATGGCCAGAATTTGGTTCAGTATTTCAATATAACAAGTGACATCTTTTGAGCAATATAAAACAATTAACAAATCATTAAACAAATAGGAGTTTAGTAGAAACTAATACCCCTGTTTTCAAGTTCCAGCGCTAGTGTCTTCCTAGCAATTTTTTTCGCGATAATTATTCATTTTGGATTATTTCTTGCTACCTATAAAATGTCGATATAATGATTCTTTCCAATGCTATGCATTTCAAATTCTGCAATAAAATAAATTGTGTTTTATTTAAAATAACAACACAACCATAAATGAAAAAAGAACGATATAAGTGTTCGTTTTGAAATGTTTGATAATTCTATCAGTTTTTGATATATCATTTGTTGAAATCGTGGAATCTATTGCCAATCAGTAATTTTCATGTCTAAAATATCAATGGTGATTGTGCGATTCGATCGACTGATGAACTTTATTATGAAAGCAAAATGCATCACTCTTCTAGAAAATTCAGGGCCTACTAATTTTTTTTTCAAAAATTCATTCTAGCTATTCTTGTGAAAAAAGGCGTACTTGATTCACTACCCCTAAAAACAAACTTGTTCCCAATTTTATCGACCACTCTTTGGTGATAATGATTTTGTAGCCAAATTGTAAAAGACACATACTATCATTTCCACTTCGTAAAATCTGTTTTTAATGTGATTATACACATTACAGTCATAACATAGTATTATTATTCTCATTTCTACAAAACAATTGATAGAAATATTATTGAAACAAAATGGGACTTTAATTTCATACTCTAAATTTTCATTGTTCCTACCGATCCACTTTTCAATAACCATATCAATACACGAGTATGTATTCTTGGAATTTTACTTTCAAAAATTGACTTAGTAGGGCTCTAATTTGTAGGGATACATAGTTCATCAGTCTTGATAATTTGAAAAAAATCACAGGATAACTCAAGAACAAATGGGTCACTCTATATATGAGTATAATTTTTGATTCAATTATGTATATGAATCAGAACACACTTCATTTGGAAGCTTTTTTCTACCGTTGTTATTATTTTCAGCATGCAAAGACGATGATACATGCTCACGATAGTCCGTTAGCTGCATTGGGGTTCAGTCCGAATGGGACACGCATTGCTACAGCTTCGGAAAAAGGAACTGTGATAAGGGTGTTCTCTGTGACGGATGCCTCTAAGTTGTACGAATACAGAAGGGGCGTCAAACGATGCGTTGCCATATCTTGTTTAGCATTCAGTCTTTGTGGCCAGTTTCTGGGATGTAGTAGTAATACAGAGACTGTCCATGTTTTTAAGCTGGAAGAACCAAAGGATAGGTGATTACCATTGAGTGCTTATGAATTGATTAGGCCACTTGAATGTTCAACCATTTTTGGTCATAATGGGCTAGCAAGCGTTGAGGTGCCACTTCACATACTCTCAATAAATAATAATTATTTACCTATATATCTAGTACGTCAAAGTAGCGTTCATGGACTACAGCGTGTACTTCACCAATTCATATTCTGAATGTGGATATTCGTTTGGAATATTCCGTATTTTGTTATTTATCTTTCAATCAATCTATGGTAGTTATTGAGAATGATATACACTCTCGAAGACAGCTCTCTGAAAATACGCAATAATAATGTTCAAAGGTTTTGAAATTTGTTTTTTGAAATCTCAAATATCATGTTATATTCATAATTTCCCAAGATATAATCTGTTGAAGTCTTGAAAAAATCTTGAAAGAAGTGAAGTTTCAATTTAAAAAATGAGAGCGATAAATGAAAATTGATGTTGTATGAAAATGAATGACGCATCAAATTGAAAAACTCAATAAACCTTTTGTCTCCATTGTGCAAGTGTAGGGGCTTGCATTTTAATCATTCACGGGTATGGTTGATTGTATCACTACCAAACTTTTTGTCACCAGTAAGTACTTATGTCCAATGCAGTAATGGGAAGATGATTCCGGATTATCTACAACAGGGGTATATCAAATAGGGTGAGAAAAATTAATTTTATAGAAATGATTCTTTTTATTTCGGAACAGAAGCCTAAGCAGTAGTTAGTAATATTCAACCCAGACTCACCTAGCCACGGTGTTTATTGTACCCAGAATGAAGTTTCGTAAATATTGTTGCTTTACTGTATCCGGTATAAAAAGGAGCCTGTATAGTCCTCCATCCAATCTGTTTTATTCACAACTGGGTGAGATATCTTCAATAATTCCCCAAACCTACTTCTTATGGTGGCATCTCAAGTGGTAAATATTGCGAATTGTTATGTTAATGAGAGAATATTGATTCTATTGAGATCAAGATCATCGTATCATTTAGATTTGAATCATATTGTATGAGATCTCGATATCTTGCTCAAAATGTATTATTATGAGAGAAAATCAATTAATTCACATTTTTTTCATCAAAATGACTTGAAATATGATAATGTTTTTCACATGGTTGTAACAATTATTGAAAAAGCAATATCTTTGAGAGGAAAATGGTCATGATCTATATGAAAATAAACAATGGCAAGTGCGTATTTATAAAGAAACACTGGCAGTTAGAATGTTCAATCTATTTTTAATCAACTCTTCAAATTAGTTCAGCAGCAAATTTTCAGTTTACAAAATTCTCCAGAACCAGGATTCAATAATTTTAAACCTTCGCAACGGTGTCCCAGAGCTTTTAGGCCAGCAGATTTTTAGGTCATTTCAGACACAAATACAATTGGCATATTTCAGTGATACATTTTATTTCATTTTTTCGAGGTACTAACCCAAACTGGTTTATGAACCGTTTTCTCGCCAGAGCTTTGTGCATTTTTTTATTATTAGAATCCACGATGTTTAAGAACATGAAAAACGCGGGAAAACACAAAGTTGAGCGTGCCTACATTAACCGTTATCATTCAAATGCACTCAGAAAGTTGATGTTCGTTGAAAATATCAACTGTTTCAATGCTAACTTTAGGGAGATCACCAGATGAACCTTTTATAACATGAGAACTTAGTGTTCTCGATCTGAATACTGAGTGCTGATAACTCAGTTTCAAAACCTGAAGATTATCTTCGAATTTAAATTTCCACTATATCTACTAAATTTTTTGAGATTAGAAGGGATGGGTTCATTTGAAAGCTTATTAGAGTTCAGAAGATCTTATATTATAGTATTCCAATCTATGTATTGTTTGTATCCCAGCACACCCCTACAGGGAAATGAATTCTTGCTCTTGTTGTGTTCAATTAGTTAATGTGTATTTATATGAGTTCAGTAGTAGATGTTTATAATTTCTCTGGTGTGCTCAATCTTCAATTGTTTCGTCAGACTAACTCAAAATGCGTTTCGAATCTTATTATGAAGTTTTTCTAGACTTTCAAGGATGTGTTTCCTTCTTCCGGGGCCTGAAGAGTCCCGTTGATGATGCACGAATTCAATAATAGCTGAATTAAAGTATCTAGAGACAGGACCGCAAAAGAGTCAGGGAGTCAGAGGATTATTTGAAGATCCGACCATTCGTTTTATTTTATGCACCAAAAGTCAGGAAACTATCATCACAGGGTTTTCCTGAATTAGGACTTCGTTCATGAATTCAGCATTGAAAGTCGAAAATATAACGCACCATTTCCATTTACACAAAAAATTGTGAAAATGAAAATGTGAACTTAAATGAATGGGTCATGATGCCTGTAAATTCGGTTCGAACTTTATTTAGCGAGATTCTCCCACGCCTCGCTATTTTTACAAAGTAGGCGATATCGAGAGATTTCTAACTCCTTTCAATAGGAAGTGATAACACCATTTGACTTTCTATACGTCTTTCTCATATACATAGATGACGTTTCATGTCCAGTAGCAGTCTTCAGAGTTGAGAAATTCAATGAAATTCAATAAATTCACGGTGTCAATATTTTCTGAATAGCATAATCAAATGACAACATACACAACAGATTGGCGACTAATGTAAACTAGTAAGATGAATTGAAAGTAATGGAAACATCATTACGTGAACTTGTGTCAACGCTCAAAAAGCTGCAAAGTCAGCAAGCAAGTTTGTCGGATCAAGTTCCAAGTAGTTCGTGGTGATAGCAGATCGATACTACAGGAATAGCATTACAGCCCCACGATAATCTTAATGAATCATCTCCAAAGACTCCAAAACTACTTGGAACTACGAAATCTTTCGGACGATACGGCGGAAAACGATAAAAAAGTGTCAATAATGTTTGGGACCCAAGAATCATCAAATTCTTCACAGCATTACGGCACCTGATCCTCCAATACGAAGTATTTTAAAGAGCTCATAAAAGTTCTTCACGACCACCTTAGTCCAAAACCAAGTGAGGTTGCAGAGCAGCACAATTTCTTGATGAGATCACGGCAGGAAGGTGAATCGATTTCAATTTCGAACTAAGAAGAGTAACTACAAATCGCGCACGCATATGTTTGCAGAAAAGTAGTACTTTGCGCACGCTTGTAGGAATTTTCTTTCAGTATACAGTGTGTCTCACTTCTAATGGTAGCACTCTTGTATCTTACGTAATTGATGAGTTCGGATTCTGAAATTTTCAGGAGACAGAGATATACAAAAAATACACTCTATGACCAAGTGGGGTCATCTTCCAGCCATGGATCCATCCACATTTCCAGAAGATGATATTAGGAGGCAAGGTTGGTTGAAAATCACGTTGGATTCTAACGTTGATAAAATCAAAAGTCTTGTGAATGAAAGATTGGCGGAAAAGTATAAACTGAATACTATCACTATCACAGAAAAGCATGCTGACCATATTTTGATGAACCTCTTCAAAAGTAAAAATAGTTCAGTTATTCAAGATGAAGATGAAGTGAAGCTGATAAGTTTGAGGCCATTGGAGAATGGTACAAAAATATTCCAATGTGTCTTACAAGTAAGCCTAGCTTCATGTAAACAGATTATGGACAAGGGATATGTGTTTATGGGATACGATCATTGCCAGGTATATGGTGCATTCGATATTGAAAGGTGCTTCAGGTGTTGTGGATTTCACCATGTAGCAAAGAACTGCAAGAATACATTAGTATCAAGATGAATGAAAATGGTGACTGAGGACTAGATGTTAAACATGCAACATGGGACTGCAAGTGTCATGTGTTCAAGCAAAAATGTGAAGACTTCAAATCCCAAATTATACAGTAGCCACTACAGACCAACCCAAAGAAGAAAACAAGTAAAAACCTATCTATTGCCCATGTTAATATTCGATCTTTTGCTCCATTTCCCGACGAAATTAAGGACTTAGTTATATATGAAAAATTCCACATATTGGCCATCTCTGAAAGTTTGCTGAAAGAAGAATTTCCTAGCAGTCTCGTGGCTTGTGGATATTCTAGGTTATACTCTCGTTCGTGCTGATAGATTCGCTAAAGATGGTGGTGGTAGCACCTGTTTCAGTGCAGAATAATAGATATTTCGTTTATCAACAGTGAACTTAATTTTGGTTTAGGCCAGTCATGGGCTTGTGTCACAATAAATAATTTTAAGATAATGATAGGAACCATATAAAAGCCACCAAAATTGTCTTACCGAAAACTGAAGGGATTAGAGAACGTACAATTTCTATGCAATTTGACCACACAATACTGTTAGGTGACCTTGACATCAATTTTTTTGAACAAACTTGTGACAAAATGTACTTGGAGCACTTACTGGCATGTTTTGAATTGAAAAAAATAATTACATAAGCAACAAGAGTATCCAGAACAGTGAGCAAGTTGATAGATGTAATTTGTGTCGATGAAAACATAGAAGTAACTGAAGCCTGTACAATTTTGAAGACATTTTACAATCTGCATCTGTTGATGTCAGAATCGGTATATTCAATCACAATTCAATTAATGTGTTCGACATTCATGCACCACTGAAAACAGTATGTTCGAAACGACCATACAAACCCCATATCACAGATACTATAAAGTGTATAATTAGTCTGAAGAAAAAAGTGTATAATTAGTCTGAAGAGAAAAGCTATTTGGATCTTGAGAACGATTTATCTTTTGCGAATAGCAATGGGAAAATGCATATATGAATTTTGAAATGATCAGAATTGAGAAAAATTCTAAAGAACTCTGGCAAAAATTGTATCAGTGGAGTGTATAATCTCACCCCTCTTCAAAAATCCCTGCTCCAAACAGTATTAGCAAATGTTTTAGTAATGTTAGCAACCTAGCAGTCCCAATCGGCAATGAAGTGTGCTAAACCACTTCATAAATCATAGGCACAATCTTGAATCATCGATGAATTTCAGAACAAATACTGATGTAGATATATAAAGTGCATTTGAATAGATTGA